AACAGGCGCTACTCTACTATTTAGTATACCAGAAGCACAAATTGTAAAAAAAAATTTACAACAAAGGAATACCAACATGGTAACTTCTGAACAAAAAGACTTAGTGAATGGGCAATGATAAAACAGATGCAGAATCGATTCTTCTATAATATTACAAAAGGAACATAAAGAAGATACATTCTGAGAAAACCTGCTCAAGAGTAAGTTACAAGAGTAATATTTATGAACAATCTTGAAATGGAGCTCTTTAATTTTACTTGGAATACAAAATTTGTGAGGAGAGGTCCATAGGTTATCCAGATCAGAGTTCGGAAACCAAATATTCCATTTAGATCGTGATTTAGGGAGGTTCCTTGGAGTTGAAGAAAGCGCATTTCTAATAAAGAAGTTATTGCATTTTTTATCTAATACATGAATACCATTGATTGCAAGTGTAGGTATATAATTATTTAAATAGCCATGTTAAATAGCACCTTTAAATAATGACTCGTCCCTGGTCATTGTTAACTATCAATGACGTAATATCCGCATATCCTCAGTTTCCGCTTGTAGAAACTATGGCAACACACGGACACAAATGCTGCAGTATAGTTAAATTAAATCCATTATGGCGGTTTCAATTCTGTTCAAATCAGTTTCAAGAACTGTTTCCCTCTTCTGTAAAAAAAAGTAATCGTCGCCGCCATACATGTAAAAGAATTTCCAAGATGTCAGTCCAAGCCTTTTAAAAATCAACATCATCTTACCAAGAAGATATTCAGATAACGTTATGCCATGTAAATAACCATGATTTTTTGTGTTGCGCATTATAACCAATTACACACTAGTGGCGAAAACTTACATATTGTGCCTTTAAAACAAAATTTGGACAAATCAGACGAACTCTCCAAAAAATGCAATGCAAAAAATGTTTTTCTTACTTTGTTTTTTTTGTCTTGTTTCCAGCCAAAATATTTAAAAATATTGCCCACTGGTAGGGTAATTGATGAACGAACTCACCAACCACATACAGGCAGGAAAAACTTCCCTAAACCTACCACACACACGTATGACTGAGGCCTGAAACCAATCTGTGAATATCCGGAATCCATGTGCTTTTTTCCTGTTTACACGTTCATGGGTCATATCTGATCTGTGCCACATGGAAGGAAAAAATAATCTGAATTGGGTAACTTGGGTATCTGGGTGCTGACATGAAAAAAAGCCCCTCATTTGTTAAGCACAAATTGTAAAAAAAAATTTACAACAAAGGAATACCAACATGGTAACTTCTGAACAAAAAGACTTAGTGAATGAATGGGCAATGATAAAACAGATGCAGAATCGATTCTTCTATAATATTACAAAAGGAACATAAAGAAGATACATTCTGAGAAAACCTGCTCAAGAGTAAGTTACAAGAGTAATATTTATGAACAATCTTGAAATGGAGTTCTTTAATTTTACTTGGAATACAAAATTTGTGAGGAGAGGTCCATAGGTTATCCAGATCAGAGTTCGGAAACCAAATATTCCATTTAGATCGTGATTTAGGGAGGTTCCTTGGAGTTGAAGAAAGTGCATTTCTAATAAAGAAGTTATTGCATTTTTTATCTAATACATGAATACCATTGATTGCAAGTGTAGGTATATAATTATTTAAATAGCCATGTTTTAAATAGCAGCTTTAAATAATGACTCGTCCCTGGTCATTGTTAACTATCAATGACGTAATATCCGCATATCCTCAGTTTCCGCTTGTAGAAACTATGGCAAAACACGGACACAAATGCTGCAGTATAGTTAAATTAAATCCATTATGGCTGTCTCGAAAAAACTGAAAATGAAAACGTGTTGACCGCAGCATTAAATTTAGATCTACTCAATGTTGCACCATGATTTTTTGTGTTGCGCATTATAACCAATTACACACTAGTGGCGAAAAATTACATATTGTGCCTTTAAAACAAAATTTGGACAAATCAGACGAACTCTCCAAAAAATGCAATGCAAAAAATGCTTTTCTTACTTAGTTTTTTTTGTCTTGTTTCCAGCCAAAATATCTAAAAATATTGCCCACTGGTAGGGTAATTGATGAACGAACTCACCAACCACATACAGGCAGGAAAAACTTCCCTAAACCTACCACACACACGTATGACTGAGGCCTGAAACCAATCTGTGAATATTCGGAATCCATGTGCTTTTTTCCTGTTTACACGTTCATGGGTCATATCTGATCTGTGCCACATGGAAGGAAAAAATAATCTGAATTGGGTAACTTGGGTATCTGGGTGCTGACATGAAAAAAAGCCCCTCATTTGTTATTTGTGACCCTGGACCACAAAACCAGTCATGATAAAAAATGTTTAATTTAATTGAATTGAATGTTATATAACATCTGAAAGCTGAATAAATAAGAGTTCTATTGATGTATGGTTTGTTAGGATAGGACAATATTTGGCTGAGATACAACTACGAAGGGCAACCAAAACAAAGATATTTTACAGGACACCTTATGCCAGACCTGTCCCCACACCGAAACAAAGAGAGTAAATGGTACATGCCCCTAGAAGTGTACCCTGGTAGGCGATACCCCACATTTTGTTCTGGGACTGGATACGTCTTTTCAAGCGATGTGGCTCGAAGGATATACGTGGCATCTCTGACCGTACCCAGACTGCATTTAGAAGATGTTTACGTGGGGATATGTCTAGCTAAACTGAAGATAGAACCAACGCCACCACCAAATGAACTGCTGTTCAATCACTGGCGAGTGCCCTACTCTAGCTGTAGGTACAGCAACCTGATCACCTCTCATGGGTTTCATCCCAATGAGCTCAACCAGTACTGGCAGCATCTGCAGAGCAACAAGCACAATCCCTGCCAAACGAATGGGTAGAAGGTTTTATCATCAAGTTGGGACGACGTTTCGTACTTTTCAAAGGTTTAAAGCACAGATTAAAGCACAGGAGGGTTCTGGACAACCTTACCGGTGTTTTTTTTATTTGATTTTCACTACTGTAATTTTTATGATTGGTCATCTTTACAAATCTGAATGATTAAATGGTTATAAAACACAAGTTGTTTAAAATATGAATTCTTATGATGAATAGGATTGTAAACATGCAGCAAAATAGGTCTTTAAAGGGATAGTTCACCCAAAAATGAAAATTCTGTCATTAATTACTCACCCTCATGTCGTTCCAAACCCGGAAGACCTTCGTTCATCTTTGGAACACAAATTAAGATATTTTTTATGACATCTGAGAGCTTTCTGAACCTCCATTGACAGCTAGGGTCCTACCACGTTCAAGGCCCAGAAAGGTACCAAGAACGTTGTAAAAATAGTCCATGTGACATCAGGGGTACAACCGTAATTTTATGAAGCTACGAGAATACTTTTTGTGTGCAAAGAAAACTAAATTAATGACTTTATTCAGCAATTCTTCTCCTCATCCCGTCCGCCGTCATTATGGAAAGTACCATGACACGTGCGTGCTTTCCTCTGCTCGTAAACAAGGTGCAGCGCATGCGTGTTCTACGACAGCGGCACCACACACTACCGCTCAAATGGTCGGGGTAAATTTTGTATTTTTAAAAAAAGGAATACTTTTTATTAAGCAAGGATGCATTCAATTGTTAAATCGCTGAAAACACAGTTCCAGTAAAGACTTGCATTGTTACAAAAGACTTCCATTTCAAATAAATGCATTTTTTTAATTTTTAAAAAATGTTAGGGATCCCACCTGGATTTGGGAAGAGATTCATTCAGAACGAATCTGCTGCATGGTTAGGAGGTTAGATGCGTACATTTGAACTGTATCATCCTGCGGGACATAAGCTAACATACACTTGCTGCACGTCTCATAAAACGTAAAAAAAAAAGTCAATATGTGGGAGTAAGAGAAGAGCAGACATGGATAAATTTGACGACGCAAGAGAACTCAATTCGGTCCGGATTTCTGAGCACAGACACTGAAGCATACACACACAGAAAGCGAGTCTCACACATAGACTGTATAAGGTCTCACAGCGTGCGAGTACTCTTTCCCGTCGCATGAACGGAGAATTACACACAAAATGATGTTGAATTGTCTGTTTTGACGAGTATTCACGTAAACACAGTCGATTACGTCTTAAAGGTGCAATAGGTGATTGTCTTCAGAAACATTTTTTGTTATGCTGGTTGAAAGTCTCTTCACATCCCGATAGCAATCATTAAGTTAAAGGGATACTCCACCCCAAAATGAAAATTGTCATTAACCACTTACCCCCATGTCGTTCCAAACCCGTAAAAGTTTCGTTCGTCTTCGGAACACAATTTAAGATATTTTGGATGAAAACCGTGAGGCTTTATGATATTAAGTTGACTAAAACTAAAAACAATTCAGATGACTAAAATATGACTAAAACTAAATAGCATTTCTGGGCTTGAAAACGGAAAAAAAAAAATTTAATTGGTTCACTCCGAGCAGAATCCATATTTTAACGTTTCCGTTCCTGCATTAGAGTAGAAATACCAGTTAATAGCTTTTTTTATTAAAACAATTTTCTTTGCCTATAATAATAATAATAAATTACAGCATTTTCTTTACTCAAAAAGAAAAAGAAAAGAAAAAACAGGAAGAGATCTGGTATCTTAACCCGCTGCGCTTAGTCACAGCCAATACAGCGTCATCTTTTTTAGATTTTGGCCAAATGTAGGCTACTAAACAAAAGAAAAAAATCTATTAACACTTTAAAGACATTGAAGTATTTTTAAAGATATTTAAAAATGTTTGCTGCATTTTTAAAACACGCTACTTGTATATACCTCTGACAAATTTACAAAGTTGTCAGAGGCTCTTCTGAAAAAGAAAAATATGCATCACCATGCTTTTATATTTTTTTAACATTTTTTTTTAATAATAATCCACATTCAACAGAAATGTTTAAAAACAAACATTACTTTCAAATGCATTTATATATATATATATATATACATAAAAAAAAAATATATATAATAAAATTTTAAAAAAAAAGTGTACCCTTGTTGATAACTGACTTTGCGTTATGGAAGCAACTGCATTTTCCATTTCAAAAATAGTAATTAGATGCAAGCAGTACTTGGGTTTCCAGATAAAACGAACAAAATCTCCAATATACTGCAGAATTACAGAGCATATTCACCATCAACAATCTGAAGTACAGATTTCATAGAACCGTAGAATTCTGGTCATTTAAATGTCTGCTGGTTTTGAAGAAAGGCATCTCATCCTAAATTTTCCTCTAATCTGACTTAGATTTACTATTCGCATTTGTGCAGTGAACCTCGATGCACTACTCTACGCTTCATAGAACAGAAGGCAGAAAAAAGCCAAAAAAGAAAAGAAAGGAACAAAGTGAATCTATCATTACAAGAGTTTTAGACAGCAGTCATTTATTCATATCAACGAGTCCCCATTTTCAATGGTTCTCTTACATCCAGCTCGTGTTTTACAAATAGAGAAGGGGAAAAATAAAAAATAATAAATCAAATATCTCCTTTTGAATCTGCCTTGATTACCAACTGATTTACAATTGAAAAATTCATATCTACTGAGAAAACATGACAAGGACCAACCCAAACAGCCAAATTTCCTCTCGCGCGCCCTGACCTGTTCATCCACGGGTGGAGGAAGAGACTACAAATCAAATTGCTGTCAGCAGAGGGTGAAGCATACTGAAATCCAAAGTGCTTTCAGGAAGGCTGAGAGGACCGGGGGTCTAGCGGTCCATCTTGACCGGTCTCTGGAGGGAGGGAAGATCTCGACGGTGGATAGCCAGCAGTCTCAGATCCTCAGATGGGACTTGTGTTTGACCATGTATCTGTAGAGGAGATGAAGGGGATAATGAGCTATATAACACTATTGAGATTACTAATAGGGTTGGAAAATACATCATTGCTCTAGTATTTAATTAACCAGGGACAGGATCACATGACAAACTTCAAAAGACTACACAATGATCAAAGACGTACATCTGTAGGATATTTACATACACCAAAAATCCAAAACAAAAATATTTGAGGTCTACAGGTCAGCAAAACACATGTTCAATAAGACGGAATTAAAACATATAAACGATTTACACAAAAGTTTAGTGTTCCTTTTTTTGAAAAGTTATATTTCTATTAGTGCTGTCAACCGATTAATCGCGATTAGTCGCATCCAAAATGAAAGTTTTTGTTTATGTAATATGTGTGTGTGTACTGTGTATATAAATACACACACATACATTTGGAAAATATTGACATGTATTTACTTCTGAAAACATATATAACATCAAAAATACTGTCGGAACGTGTTCCTCTCTAGTGTGTGCCATGCTACAGGTGGACTGAAAGGACACGGAGCTGCAATCCTGACCTGTCTAGTGTTTCCCAGAAGCGGAGGAAGACGGGCCGGTCCAGATGTCGTTTGTGGTGGCTCAGCTCCAGCACAGTCACGTCCCACTTCTGTACGTTTGGGTCCATCCGTGCCTCGTCATACTTCAGGTGAAAGGCTCGGACTAAATGAACATAAGCATGCAATGAAACCCACTCTAAATATATTGTAAATAATGTGCTGCATTTACCCTGACTAAACTCACTTTTGGCAAATATATCCACGGGGGATCCATCCGGCAGCAGCCACGGCCAGCCCTTGAACTGCCAGGCAGGACCCTGGACGAAGACGGCCACTACACGATCCCTGTGAACAAACGGCGACAAAATCAGTCTCAAACTGACTGGTTAGGCCCGAGTTATTGCTTATGAAGAGCATTCAAAATCGGTAATTTGAGCTTGCTATTTTCAGTTTTGGGGGATGAAAGCATTGACAAAACAGTGGCATTTAATTAGCGATTCTCCGATGCCACGTTTGACAGCGAGCATCTATTTCGAGAAAACAACATTGATAAACCTCAACAGCTAAACAAGTCTGCTGTGTGGATGCTAGGTCTAATCTGACAATATTGATTTCTCAATTTTAATTCATCTTCATTTTGATGAACCGATATTGATTATTAAAATCACAACATTGCTCTTTAAAGTTGAGTGATAAAAACATCACTAAGCATTACTCATAGCACACCTAATTGCAATAAGCTTTGTGCCTTTTGTTATATTTGTTAAAAGCCACAAAAGACAACAATATACCTTTACAGGATTTTGCTAAAAATATGCATTATATGACATATTCATTATATTGTACTTAACCTGTTAGGGATGTCTTCATTATTTAAAGTACGTTTGAATAAATCTGTCATGAAAACAAGTCACTACAGCCACAGCTTGATGGTTTTATAACCACAGTGAACTGGAGTAGAAAATATAAAAAAATTGTACACAAAGACTGCCTTAATGTGCAATTGAAATATTTATATACAACTGAGCGTTGATTATTTTTAAAAACGGCTTAATTGACTATTAAATAAACTATTGAATTTTTTTTTGGTTAAAAAAATAATTTGTCGAATCAATTCAATCATCAGGCTTTGGAATGGATCTATTATTAACAAAGTCCAACATGAACCAGGCAGATCCTGTTGATTGAAAATGATGGCCACTGCGCTAGATGAGCTCACCAGTCCTGTGGGGCGAGTTTGAGCGGCTGGTCGATCACTCTGTAGGGTACTGTGACACTGATGTTGGCACCGCCTGGCTGAACCTGATCTTTACGTCTCTGCAGCAGAACCTCGTTGTCCCTCTGAATGCCCAGCTTCTTCTTATCCTCTGTTGTGACAAACCTGCCAAGAAAAAACAATTTTAGCAGCCAGATAAAATACATTTTATATGCATTCATCATTGAATGTCTTCAGACACTGTCTAACACACAATTGCATGCACAGAGGATAAAACTCTTGGTACCCTCTCATGTGAATCACCTCTGAAGGTACGTTCACAGGCCTGAGGGTAGTGGTCGACCGATATTGTTTTTTTGACAGACAATATTTAAGAAATTTGAAATCATTTGAAAATGGATTAAAAAATAAATGTGTAAAATAAACATGCTTATACTTTGAATGACAAAGTATTTTCACAAATAAACAAATATTGAATCAAAATATAATTTAAAAAGTAAACACTAACCAACAGAGCACTCAGTATTCTGGGAAGTTTATTGTGTGCATTGGGAATCAAATTTTTTCAAACAAAGCCAAGGTAACACTCATTTTACATACAGCACACAGTGAAAATGACATGAATATGGCAGTGGGCAAAAGCATGAAGCGCAGCATAATTTGAAATCACGAGTTTAAAGACTGTCGATCGCGCGTCTCAGTGAAGCTGAACTGTCCTCCTGTCAGCATTCAATTCACACGGACCAACCGTCATGCAGAGAACACGCGATCATGCAGGATACAAATGCACACTTCATAAGATCTCACAACTGGATCACAGCTGGATTCAACTAAGTTTGCAAGGTTTTTTAAATTTGATGTTCATTAGTCATTCAAAGATTTGTTTAAATGATGTAAATGCGTATTTGCTGAATGCTGACGGCAAACAACGTTACATTTTAATTCCTTTGTTTAACAGTTCTGATATTAGACAGACTTCTATCCGTGGACAGAACTGTTAACAACGACAGCGAACAAGAGGGAGAATGTGAGCACTGCGTGTTCAGGTGCTGCTGTTCTTCACGCTGTCAAAATAAAAGTACCGCCACGAACGCATTGGCCAAACAGAAAAACTTATCGGTCGATGTTGATATTTGAAACATGCCAAATATCGGCCGATATATCGGTCGACCACTACCTGAGAGCAGCTTAAACTTTACACGTTCTATCCCAAAAGATGTCAGTGCAGAGGAAATATTAGCAGAAACTGCAAGAATCACTCTTCTGATCCTAAATTGTTATTATTAAATGCTAAAACCCAACCTACACCTTGTATATACCCAGTGTATTCTGGAAATGCATTTCACATCTGTATATAAGGCAATGTCAATGGACTACTCACACTGAGCCTCATGACACACTTCTGTTTTGAAATAATACAACTTAAGTTATTTCCGGTTATGTATGTTTTAGCGATGTGCTGTAAACATCTAGTTGACTGAAATGCCTGTTAAAATGAGAGTCCGTGGGATGATTTCAAAATCTGGATATTTTCAGAGACAGGAGAAGAGATATTCTGATGATTGTGGTGTATTTTCCAAACTCGACAGAACTTGAAGTTTTATCCCCCTAATTGTTATTATTAAATGCTAAAACCCAACCTACACCTTGTATATACCCAGTGTATTCTGGAAATGCATTTCACATCTGTATATAAGGCAATGTCAATGGACTACTCACACTGAGCCTCATGACACACTTCTGTTTTGAAATAATACAACTCAAGTTATTTCCGGTTATGTATGTTTTAGCGATGTGCTGTAAACATCTAGTTGACTGAAACGCCTGTTAAAATGAGAGTCCGTGGGATGATTTCAAAATCTGGATATTTTTAGAGACAGGAGAAGAGATATTCTGATGATTGTGGTGTATTTTCCAAACTCGACAGAACTTGAAGTTTTATCCAAAATAAGCATAAACATACTGTACGTGATTGTTTCAACAGTGTCAGTGCTCTAAACTAGTAATGGCAACGCTGCAGTGTGTGTGAGATATGATAAGATGAGAATTAACCTATCTGTATTACCATGTATGTCATATGTATGTCACAATTCTGTCATTTTTCATTCATAGTCATTTCACTTTATGTAATGCCAAAATATGAATATTAACAAAGTAGTCAGTTTAAAATTAATTAAATGTTTAACATTGTTAAATTTCTTTAAGGCATTTTCCATTGTTGCAAGTCAAAAACTTAGACATCAGACAGATGAATTAAGAGCATTAGTTGATAAATCATTTGGTTAACTCACCAATAAACACTAACCGCAAATTCTGCCATTTATTTTTAAAAGTTTAAAACATTTTGGTGGCAAGAATAAAGGTGGCAGTAATACAATGTATGTGTCGACATACCTTCCATGCTCATTCATGTTTATTTCATGCTATAACTAGTAATATATAGGAGATGAGGCATGGCTGAGGTGAAACGCATGTGAGTGTGTGTGCCAGATCATTTCTTCGCAGAAGTGTTATTCAAGCATCAGCCACTGCCTCACTTCTCTCTGAAATTTGCATGTGTGTGGTGCCAGTTGATATTCTCACAGGTAGTTCAGGTGGAATGCAATATTGTAGATAAACAGATGCACATGATGGAATAACCCTCCATTTTGAGACGTATTTACATAACCGGCATCATCACAGACAACAGATTTTTTTCATCATGGATAAAATGTACAAACCAAGCTCATACCACCGTTTTAGATCGCCTTCAGGAAATCACCCTCACAAACAGACCATCATCTCACTTTTTCCATCAATCACCATTTTTGGCAAAGAGCATTTTATCAGTCCAAGCATATTTCTCTCATTCAACTTCATCATTTCTTAAAAGTTCTGAAACAAATTTTTTCTCCCGTCTAGGGAAGAGGAAGACGAGTGAACATATTCCCAATAAAGCCAGCTAGATCAGATGACCCGATGGCCTTTTTAGCCAAACCTGGCGCCCAAGAACAACTGGTTTGACTGGTCAGAGTTGGTTAACTTTTCATGGTGACCTGTCACTTTATGTTCTTCTAAGAAAGGCTTCATATCAGTTTTGACTAAAAACATCTGTAATACTCTAACAGGAATGAAAGGCGTTTGTTTTTTGATAATTTTAACTTAATTTAACAGCCGATCGAATTTAGTCATAACTTTCCTATGAATCATCTGATCAGCACTTACTTGAGGTCCTGTAAGAGATCCTTGGCGTTGAGCATTGTGATTAAAGATGTTGTAGCTGCAGGGATGATGATAATGGGAGTTCTAGAACCTGGAAAAAAATTTGTTGTTGTTGTTGTTAAAAATAAACCAGCTAATTGCAGTGATCCTGCTTGTTCAAAACAGTACATTTCCTTTCCTCATTCATGTAGATAAAGACATACCTTTCTTTTGGTTAGGCAGGGGTCTTGCTTGAGAGACTAAAGACAAGACAAAACAAACAAACAAATAAACAAACCAAATATGGACACATTGTTATTCTGGCCAGAAATAACTTGGAAAAAAACCAAATTTAATTTATGCACATGCTACTACTATGAACATTTGTAGTCATTAGATGAACATGTTTAACACTTCATACATGTCTAAAATTATGCAGATGCAGGACAATTTGTGCTTTGCAATGCCATCTCAAGCTTAAAAGAGCATTGCTCGTTTATCAAAGAGGAGATAAGAATGTCAAAGCTTTGTACAAAACATTCCTCACATATCATACTGCAGGTACATAAACACTGGTTTGTGTCAGCGCGTAAGTGCATTAGATGAATGTTAAAATTATTATTTTTTAGACATTCTTGATCTTAAGTAGTCAAGAAGAGGGTGAAGGTGAAGTGTGTAATTTCCAGTGCCACTACTGTCAACAAATGGAATGATAATCTCTTTAAACAGGTTTTATACAAATTTAATTTATGCACATGCTACTACTATGAACATTTGTAGTCATTAGATGAACATGTTTAACACTTCATACATGTCTAAAATTATGCAGATGCAGGACAATTTGTGCTTTGCAATCAATTTATTTTAGCTACATTTAAATAAACAAATTTAGTTGGCTAACTTTCAAAATTTTTTTGTTTTATTAAAGGTGCAGTAGGAGATCTTGGAAAATGCAAACTTTAGCCTGATAGCACTGAAAGGGAACGTCCCACCCTCTCTGCAAATCGCGTCCAAAGCCACGCCCCCCTGAATGCATGAACGTACACCAGATCAGACGACCAGTAAAAGTACTACAAGACCAGGAAGGAAGATCAGGTTGTTGATGTTTGTTAGACATTCTTGATCTTAAGTAGTCAAGAAGAGGGTGAAGGTGAAGTGTGTAATTTCCAGTGCCACTACTGTCAACAAATGGAATGATAATCTCTTTAAACAGGTTTTATGCTACGTGAGTTTCAGTTAAAACAACAAACTCACTGATCATTAAGTTAAGCGTTTCAGCTACACTGAAAAAAGATTAATTGAATTTACTAAATTGTTTCAAGGTTAGTGGTTGCAATCAATTTATTTTAGCTACATTTAAATAAACAAATTTAGTTGGCTAACTTTCAAAATTTTTTTGTTTTATTAAAGGTGCAGTAGGAGATCTTGGAAAATGCAAACTTTAGCCTGATAGCACTGAAAGGGAACGTCCCACCCTCTCTGCAAATCGCGTCCAAAGCCACGCCCCCCTGAATGCATGAACGTACACCAGATCAGACGACCAGTAAAAGTACTACAAGACCAGGAAGGAAGATCAGGTTGTTGATGTTTGTCTACCATCCTCGCTCTGTCTGCACAGCGTACGTGAACGCACTGATGAAGTATCCCGTCTGCGCAAACAGGGTGCGCGGGGGTATGCAAATACACATGTTGACAGGCAGGTAGGAAAGCCAATAAAAACGCTTGGAACGAACATTTCTTATTAATCATGAATATAAAATATTAAATGTCATGGTTGGATATTTACTGAGTAATCTACTGTTTTGTAGAGGGGGGGTCAAAATGGCAATTTTCACCTGAGATTCAGAGCTAAATCACAGGGGAGTAAAAATGATTTCAGAAATATGGCAGCACCATGTTGGGGTACTTTTACACAGAGATTGGTAGGTCTATTAGTAAAATCTGCATTGCATTATGTGCCAATGGCGACCTATCCAAAATGAAACTGCACTAAGTTCCCCCCCCAATTGCATGCCTGTAACTCAAAAGCTTTAAAGTCCCACCGTAGTCAAATATTTTATCCCTTAAAACTCATCTTTGATCATCAAAATTACATTTAAATTATTTTTCTTATGAAAATAATTCTTATGCCTTAAAATAGCTTGAAAATAACTACACCCTTGCCCTATTTACTATACGCGGATTTATGAATATGCAAATTAGCCCCGCCTCCACTAAGTCAAACCAGCCAGAGCCTCCTGATCCACTGAACTGTAGTAAACACAAAACAATGGCATACACGGATAATGACTGCTAAAACTATTTAGCAGTTCTAAATTCACATTAAACCACGGCTTCATGGGTTTTTTGCTCTAATTTGTTTTTGGTTTTGTGCTGGTATTGGTATATTTTGCATGCTAGTGATAGGAATCGATCCCTTGACGTGATTGGTTATTGAATTGTGATGTAGCAAACCGAGGGCGGTTTCAAACCACGTTTCTGGGACAGCCTTTGGGAAACTACAGTATTAAGGAGAAAATACTCAGCATTGGTGTTGATTAATGGATTGACACATGGTTTGTCTAAAAGCATATTAAAAAACACCACAGGCAAATAAACAACAAAAAAATTGATTTTCACTACAGGGGGACTTTAAAGATAACAATGCCCTTTTAGATATTGGGTCTTAAACTTTCCTTTTGGCATCTTAATTTTTAAGGCCCTGTATGGTTTGGTTCCAGAGATATTGGAACATCAATATGGCTTTCAGGAGTAAATCGTTAAATTGTACACATTTTCAATGGTCAAAAACCAAACGTGGGTCACTTTGCAAAAATATGACGCTTCTTTTCTTTTAAAGAGGAATGTCTGAAGAACAAATAATATTGAAACTAAAAATGTATCTTGTTTACTTGTCAAAACAACGACATAGAACATACCTGTCTAAGTGCCACAAATATTATTTTTCCAAAGTTTGCGTGCCTATAACTCAAGAAAGTATTATAGATATTGCAATATTATTTTAGATTCTAGTTCTTAAACTCTTCTTTTGGAATCTTTATTTTCAAGGCCCTATATCAGGGTTCCTCAAATCTTACCTTGGAGGTCCAGAGTTTAGCTGCAGAGTTTAGCTCCAACCCTGATCAAACTCAGCTACCTGTGATTTTCTAATGATCCTGAAGACATTGATTAGCATGCTCAGGTGTGTTTGATTAGGGTTAGAGCTAAACTTTGCAGGAAAGTGGATCTCGTGGGCCAGATTTGAGGATCCCTGCCCTATATCATTCAGTCCCAGGGATATGGTGATCGCAATTTTCAGATTGTTGAATAGTACCCATTTTCAGTGGTCAAAAACCAAATTTTGGTCATTTTGTAAATAGTTTAAGAACAATCTCTGAAGAATAAATAACTTGGAAATTAATATTGTATCTTGGATCGCAATTTTCAGATTGTTGAATAGTACCCATTTTCAGTGGTCAAAAACCAAATTTTGGTCATTTTGTAAATAGTTTCTTTAAGAACAATCTCTGAAGAATAAATAACTTGGAAATTAATATTGTATCTTGGTTCCCTCTAATCAAAACAATTATAGAACATACCTGTCTGAGTGCTAAAAATTCACTGAAATTGTGAAGTTGAGGCACAATACATTTCTCTCAGTAGAGTATTCATAAGAGTCTATATTTGTATACATTTTCAGGAATATTTGGAAGAAGGGTTTTTGTTCATTTTAACAGCTACCAAGAGTTCAAACAGCATTGTAACATGTTTGAAACAAATCCCAGGGAAAAGTTGTGGCTTTTGCCACACATTGCATTCACATCAAACTAAGATTTGCCTAACCTGGATTTATTAGAATTTCTTTTTCTTTTTTATATAATGTGAAGCATACTCAGATCAAGTAGTATCTACTGTACATTCCTAAACCATGGGTTACTGTTATTATTTGCATATTTGACTGTCAACAGTGATGACTAGATAAACAAAACCACATTTGGTTTTTGACCACTGAAAAAATGGGAAGGACACAACAATTTGGACACATAGCTGCACTGGGATCTCAATATCAACCATTCAGGGCCTTAAATGAAGAATCCAAAAGAAAAGTTTCTTAGGAACCAGAATCTAAAATCATATTGAGATAACAGCAATACTTCTTGAGTTACAGGCATGCAAATTTAGGGAAAAAATTATATTTATGACACTTAAACAGCTATGTCCTATACAATTGTTTTGATAGAGGGAAACAAGATACCTTTCTAGTTTCAACATGACTTATTCTTCAGACATTCCGCGTTAAATACAATAAGTATGGTATTATTGTAGCTGGGTAGTATTCAACAATCTGAAAATGGAGCCTCACTGAGATCCCCGTATCTCCGGGACTGAATGATATAGGGCCTGGAAAAAGAAGATTCCAAAAGAAACGTTTATTAAAAACTTGAATCTAAAATTATATGGCGGTGTTTTTAATACATCTTGAGTTATAGGCACACAAACTTTGGAAAAAGTCATATTTATGGCACTCACATAGGTATGCTCAATGCAGTTGTTTTGACAGTGTTGAAACTAGAGAAGTATCTTGTTTACTTCTGTTTATTCTTCAGACATTCCTCTTTTAAAGAAAGGAAGTATATTTATGCAAAGTAACCCACATTTGGTTTTTAACCATTGAAAATGTGTACAATTTAACGATTTCCCCCTGGAGCCATATTGAGATCCCGATGTCTCTGGAACCAAACCATGTAGGGCCTTAAAAATGAAGGTGCCAAAAGGAAAGTTTGTTAAGACCCAATATCTAAAAGGTCATTAAGATATCTTAAATACTTCTTGAGCTATAGGCATGCAAACTTTGGAGAAAAAAACCTGAAAAGTGCCTTTTCCCCATTTTGAAATGGTCACCAACGGCACATAATGCAACAAAGATTGCTAAAGTCAACCAATTATAGACTAATATAGACCTACTGTGTAAAAGTAGTATTATGATACTGCCATCATTCTGAAGTCATTTTTACTCTCCTGTTATTCAAGCTTTTCTTTCTTCAGAAAAGGCTCTGAATCTCAGGTGAAATATTGCCATTTTGACCCCCCTCTACAAAAAAGGGGACTGCTCAGTAAATATTCATCCATGACATTTAATATTTTGCCTTGCATCACTATACATGTTTATATTTCTTCAGAAATAATATAAGCAAAATCATAAATTTGATCTGGGGAAGTTTTTGAAATTTGGTTATATGACCCTATAGCTTTTGTTCAGGAACATAAACGGTTATCAGAGACTGATCAAACAAAAAAACACCAACTTCTGTCTTGCAGCTTTTATGGCTTACAGGATTAATATAATAATAATCCTTCATAAAAAATATAAGGGAATAATAATGTCACATTTGCAATATTACACCTGCATCATGTTGCACAAAATATTCCTGTAATCGTCAAGGAAGTTCATCCATACCTGGTCTGGGAACAGGCTGCATAGCTGGTGTTTGGGCCTTTCTAGCAGATGCACCTTCCTACAGAGAAAGAGAGAAACAAGAGAAAATGCAATGGTGATGAGTCAGATGCACTTCAATTAGTTCACAGGCCAATCAAACGTCACCGTTTTGGGTGTTTACATGGAAATTATAACGGTGGCATTTTCAAAGACTAGCACTTTGAAACCCGTTTTCAAAAACATGCGTTTTCAGTCCCCAAAACGCCGTTGTCGTTTAAACGAACAGGCAAAACACCTAAAAAGTTTCCAGTTTTTGGCCGAAAACGTTGTCGTGTAAACAGCCCCTCAATGTTAAAGTCAGTTAAAGTGATTTTGTGCCTGTTTGGGATGACACAATGCGCTGTTCAAGCTTCTGGAGAGTCTGAAGTAGTGAATTTAGGTAAAGGGGTGCAGAGCCAGTGTTTTTTACATTGAATTTTACATGAGCAGCTATTGGTAGCCAGTAGAGGTGTGACGAGACATCCCACGAGACGAGACGAGACTGGGTTCACGAGAACGAGAATATACTTTAAAGAAATCTTCAATGATGAAATATATAGGGAAAAATAGTCTTTTATTCAACTGAAAAACAAAATGCAAAAAAGTAGGTGTATTTTGAAATCCACTTGTACTTTATGAAATTAAACATCTATTTAAATAAATTTTATGTAGTAATAAACATGTAAACACTGCAAAATGTTTTGACAAACTCAACTGACAGGCAAGTTAATTGCACAAAAATTATTAGTATAAATAAAAATAAATAATAAACAACAAATATCCCTTTAAAGTGGAAGTGAAGCAGTCAGTCAAGTTTACATTTTTTAAAAAGATTTTTGAAAAATAGTCTTTTATTCAACTGAAAAACAAAATGCAAAAAAGTAGGTGTATTTTGAAATCCACTTGTACTTTATGAAATTAAACATCTATTTAAATAAATTTTATGTAGTAATAAACATGTAAACACTGCAAAATGTTTTGACAAACTCAACTGACAGGCAAGTTAATTGCACAAAAATTATTAGTATAAATAAAAATAAATAATAAACAACAAATATCCCTTTAAAGTGGAAGTGAAGAAGTCGGTCAAGATAACATTTAGTAAACTGATTTCCACTTTAATAAAAATATATATAATAAACACGATTAATGTATCCATTTAAAAGAATAAAGCAGTGGTTCCCAAACTGGGGTGCACGGCCAGGCTGAGGGGATAGTTTGGGCCCTTTGTAATCAGTTTTATTTTTTCCCAAATTCCGTTTTGTTTTTCCATTTTAATTTTTCTGGATTCCATTTTTTTTTTCTTTTAAATTTTTCGACTCCTTTTTAATAGTTAAATTAAATTGTATTAATTAAAAAGCATGTCTAATTAATTAAAATGATGAAACTTATACATTTTCATCAATTTATTAAAAGTTGAACAAAAACATGTTTAAGACCCTATGAAATGTTTGATTTTTTCCTCACCATATTATTTATATTTTTATTGTTACCAAATTCTGTGTTTTAGCATGTCTAATTATTTGAATGCATAAAACATCTTAATGTATTCATTTTTTTTCTTAAAGTAGCCTTGTGAATTTTTTTCCCCTCAGAAATTCTGTGTTGTGTATTTACATTTTTCTGATTATCAAATGAAGGCATAAAACATTAATATAATTGATCATTTATCTTATAATTATTGAAAATTAAGCAAACAAGATTTTTTGGCAAAGAAAGGGGATTTACTATAAAAATTAAAACATGGAAGAAATGTTTTGTGTGATTATTCCTCAAAAAATAATGTTGGTTTCATTTTAGTAGTAGGCTATGTATATTCTACTGAACTATAGTTATAGGCACAATGCCTTCAAATCAAACCGGACTTTTATTTTGACGGGTTGCCGTGAATACCTTTACAGTTCAGTTCTGTGTATGAGATGATGCTAGTTTTACTCAAATCAAATACTAAAATGCTCATGAAGTGACTCTCAGAGCAGTTCTGGAGATGTTGTTCATGTGTTTACGTCCTCATTTAGTGAGACGGCAGACGCTGAAATCACCGCAAGTGTCACGCGCGCTTCAGTATGTGTGTAGTAAATGAAACCGCGCGTCTGTGCCATTCATTAACAGAGACCAGCAGAACATGCAGGATTCATATTTAAATCGACTTTTGCAGCTTAATATTTAAAGATACTAGTCCATATCGTGATTGGATATAAGTGTAATGACCTACCTTTGATTAATTCATTCAAAATCTGACATACTCCGTGACATTCCTCGTTAAACTGTGAATTCTGTTTTTATGACTGCATAAAGACTACACTGCATAATTTTCCCGCTTATCATGCGGCCACTTGCCTGATGTGAACATAAAATATCTTGCATACCACCACTTGTGAACGAGCCAGTGTAAAAGGTTTTAAAGGCTACTCTTGCTGACACATTCTAGATTAGTTGCAGAGATGTAAGCTACGTGTAAATGGTACTGTTTTTCCTCTGTCAGGATGGAGTTCATTTGCAGTTATTCATTATTTCAGCTAAAATCTATGCTTTTAAGACCAAGCAGAAGCATTGCTGACTGATTCCTTTGGCACTGTACCAAACTAATGCACAAGCAGCAGTCATATTTGCTGTTGCTCACTTATCACAGCCCACATTTCAACAAAGCAGCTTGAGTGAACACGGACAACATGACTAATTTACATGAGCCCAAGAGCCTGTCAGAACTAAGCATTTTTTTCTATTTTTTTTTAGTAATAGTTTTATTTTAATATTGTTGCTAGTCTTTTTTACAGAAACCCTGAATTACCAATAATGTCAAGCCTTAAGCTCCGTTTAATATGACAAATATGAATTTTCATTCATGTGTGGTTGCGAAGTTTTATTTCCAATTTTAAAAAAAATGCATGACTGACTGATGTTTGGTTATGCTTTCAAATTATATCAAATATGAATGTATCTTCTTTAAAAGCGGATTCGATTTTAGGTAAACAAACTGAACCTTACTGCGAAGTATTATGCAATAACTTGCTTTCATAAACAAAACAATTAAACAAATAATACTTCTCATGTAATTTTGGTTACATGTTGGTTTAGGGAACAATCCCACCATTAACTAGGACTTACCTCAATAAATTCGCTGCTTATCAGAGGCGGACAAAGTACACAACTGCATTACTTGAGTGAAAGTACAGATACTACTGGTCAAATACTACTCAACTACAAGTGAAAGTTGTAAAGACAGGTTCTTAAGTAAAAGTACGACAGTACATGCTTTTAAAAGTACTTAAGTATCAAAATTAAAAAGTAAATGCATTGTTTTATTGTCACATTGTTGTATACTTACAATACCGTATGCCACTAATGCAACCTACTGAATACACGGATTAGCTTGTATTATCTTTGGAATTAAGAGCTTTTATGTTACCAATCCTATAGAAACGGAACAACTGAATGAAGATAAATCAACTTAATTTTTTATTTAACACTCATACAGCTACATTGAACTCATTTTAATACTCGTTTAAAAGTTACAAAGTTATTTGTCAAAGAGATATTGAAGGCTATGATATGGTTCATTTTAGGCAAACATTGAAAATAAATTTTTTTAGTCTTTTCAGAATACTGGAACATGCTCTCTCAGTATGGCCATGGGTGTGCAAGTTGCGCCAAAAGAACCATCTTTTTTTAATTTTGCCATCAACTGATCAGTGTTCTTAAAATGCTCATAAATCAGTGAACGTCACCACATGTGGCTAGGGTTTGGTATTGTTTTAATTTTATCCATTCCGATTCTGATTATGGATTTAAATTCTTATCGACTCCCAGTTTATATTCCAAAGTTGTAAAAAAAAGCGAAGTAAAACATTTTGACCTGTGTGATCATTTAACCTACTTATTGATCATTTATTTGCAAAAAAGATGTATTTATTGTGCAGTGTTTAGATTTATATACTTCCTTGACCAGTTTTTAGCAGCAATTTACCATGTTTTTTTTATATATGGTAATAGCAGCCATTTTTGACATATATTAGCCTACCATTTGTATTGCCATAGTTTAACTACAAATATTAAACTATAGTGACTATAATGAAACTTACATTTGTGGTTACTGTAGTTTTACTACAAATAGCATAATTATGGTTACTATAGTGAGAGAATAGTAAATTTGTGGATACTGTGATTTTACAGCAAATACCATAGTTAAACTAGTTACTATAGTAAAAACATGGTTAATTTAACACATTACACATTTACACATGCGCGTTCACACAGAATAAAAACTATAAATTTTCTCTGTCATGTAGATCAAGGTGTAGGTCATCTTTATTTACCGTATGCCGATCATTTATCTTCTATGATCTTTGATCGTAGCGCTCGGCCTACGTAAGGCATCACATACAGTTGTCCATTTAAAATCAATGTGGTGAACTCACAGATGATCACACCACACTAATATGTGCCTTTTTCGTCTTTTATTATCTTGTGTAAAAAAAAAAAATCAGCCAAACATCCATTCAAAGCTAGGCGGAAAACTGCAGGCTTAGAAATACTGTAAGACTTGGCAACACTGGAAGGTCCTGGCAGATCGCAGGCCGGATTTTCGCAGAAAAAAAGGGTTCAGTGAATAAATGCACACACTGGAAAAACTGCTAAATATAACGACTTTCTATAGTATATAGAATAAGGCATTAATATGTGCTTTATAAAGAACTAAAACAACCAATATGCTAGTAACATGCATACTAATAAGTAACTAGTTAATAGGGCTGTACGATATATCGAAATTATCGCAAAAGTAAATATCGCAATTTGCATATCACAAGGGCGTGAGATATCTGAATCATTTTAATAATAGGCTACTTAAATCAAAACATTGCAAAAGGTCAAAGTTTTAGTTCGATGCATATAGCAGAGAATTGTTTGACGTTAAAAAGAGTTAAAGTGCAATAAGTTGCAGAAAACAACTCTTTGCCGTCTCGTCTTGCTGTCCGACTCACACCTCGCACAGCGTATCTTCCGTTCTGCCGCACATGTGCAAAGCGCGCGCACACAGAG